GTCTTTGGTGAATGAACGGTCGCCCGATGACGTCGTGCTTTCAAATTTGGTGTATTAGTGACTTTTCTATTGTTTGTTTTATGTACCGGTGATCCGAAGTTCTGTGCTCCGTAGTTTCTCCCTTTCTACGGGCAAGCAATATGCTCTATTTTTGTTTTGAAAGCACATCCATCTTCATTTCCAGAGAAAGCGCTTTACAACATCATTACACCGAACGGATTTGACGACACTATATGGCAATATATCAAGTCTACTCCATCGGATTTAGGGGTGTAGATCAACGGTAACATCACTGTGTGGTGGAATACGGGACTGCGGTCGCTTTTCTGAAATTCCATTTTGCTAGTCGTGGAAACGCCGAACCCTTAATCTTACTTTGGGACGAATTCCTGGCCTACTGGACGGAGTAAGTTCTGCAACACGACCTACGACTTAATGTCCATCTAATGAAAGTGCCTGGTTTGACGCCCGTGTTTCAGCCTGCAGATATACCTTGGTTTCGGCCTCTAAAGCAAAAGCCACGGAAATATTAGGTGCAGAATCTCTCAACAGGTGCGAGATTACGCGGTTGATGGCTCTGATTCCATGTTCGAGCTAGAAGCACCTTCTAGACGTGAGTGATTTGAATGGGCCACGATGGCATGGCTATCACTTAAAGTTATTAATAGTGGCTTCACCTACAAGTTCAAAAAGGATCCAACACCCACCCCGAGACAATTGTAGCAGAATATCTTGAGCGTCTGCACGCTATGGAGGAGACTGTCAGTGAATCTGACGACATCGTCACTCAACTCATTAACGAGTGAAGCGAAGATAAGTAATGTACAGGATACTTGATTAGCATTTTAATACAAGCAAAAAATATTCGTATGGTTTGTATCGGGATTATTTGTTTGTATGTTATTTAGGGGTGCCTGGATGCACACATGTTATACAAATACCCATTCTTGTTGGAGTATGGGATTTGCAAAGGTGTTAGGGCAGCTGAGGAGAGCGAAAATATATGTATGGTAGAGAAACTTGTAGGAGAAGCTTGTATATTGGGCTTGTGAAGGACTTGATAAAAGGAGAAGTAAATCAGTGGTGGAGAAGCTGGTAACCTCGTCAACTCTGGCGTACAATATAGTATAAAGTAAGCCTATTAACCCCTCCAGACCGGATGTAGCACAATGCTACATAGCCTATCCATTAAAGCTGAAGATCTTCACCTTAAGCGATTTTTGACTTGATGTTTGTATAAGTGACATTTCCCCCGTTCAAGGGGTATACTAACCTTAAGTCAAGCATCGGTTTAGTTTCTGTACGAGCCTCTCTGTGAACAGAAGGGTTAGGAGGGTCATTTGTCTAAATTCTAAAATTACTTTATTCGAAATGCAACTGATTTGCATCGGGAATCATAGGTAAATAGCACGTGCCCGCCTATAGGAGTGGCTGAGAGCCACTGGCTGTTGCCGCCTTTTCCGAATTCTCCTCATTCGTGAATTCGCGCTCCAAAGGACCTAAATCGTGAGAAGCAATGGTAAAACCACGCGGGAAGATCCCACGGGATAATGAGGTCACAGGACGCGACCTGTCGTTCAAGTCAGTGTGGCGCGAGCTAAGAAATGACAGATGGACGAGAAAGCCACCATTACTCAGCAGCTTGAACGATCGCTACATGTGCATCAGCCCCGAGGGTCATCCAAACGGCAAAGTGGGCCTCGATTACTTCTTGCGGGAGGTTGCCGTACTTGACTTCTATGCAGATGGTTCGTCTGAAACTCCTGCTGCTATCGAGACGCTTGCTAACATTTGCTTGTCATATTTAGTAATGCGAAGTCGCGCAGGAGGAGCTATTCCGCGGGGCGCTGCCGTAGTAGTCGCGTCTAGTGCTACCGGGGACGATCAATTTGCTGCTGCACGAGAAGCTGTTCGCCATAACTCCCTGCCGAAAATTGAACCTAATGCAGCATGAGAAACAGCGATCAGTCGGGGTGCTGCTACAGTGAATGCTGCAGGTAAATCTACATTTTATGCTGAATGAAATGATGACCTTTATGAAGCATATTATGATGAATATCTAACTTGTTTTAAATATGTATTGTAGCTACCACAAATGAAGAACCGCCACA